CACTAGTGAGGTCCCAGGGAGATGCTGATGCAAGGGTGGACCAGACTGCTATAGTGACAGGGCGGGCAAACAGGGAGCAGGGACCAATCAAATCAGGCTTTGTATACAGCCAACAGCCAACCACAATACTGCCCCATTGTACAGTACAGCATAGAAAATGTCGACCAGTCAAACCCCTATCATCCCTATCATGGCACCAAGATGTCGTTGATGAACTTTTAATATCAGATGATGAAGAGGAGTTTGAAGGCTTTTAAGGTGAAACTGTCACGCCAGCAAACTTGCTATGGACTTGCCCGGCACTTGCTCTCTCTCTCTATTTGTTATCTTACTTCTATCATTGACAGTCCCTCTAGGTTGTGGGCTGCTTGCCTGTGTTCCTGAGAAGCATCTACGGTACCAGTCTATAGAGTGTGTTTTCTTTAGTGAATTACCGGTATGTTTACCGGTAATAAACTTGCACTGTTTTATGTATATGTTTGATTACATACAGCCTTGTGACAGTTTTCCTGCATGTCATAAGCATTTGAATATAAATTAAAATGTTAAAATCAAATCTGATATTGTTTTACCTTTTATTTGGTGTGTGGAAGGTGTGCGGAAGAGGGGGTAGTCTTATACGGCGAGTATATAACAAACTCTGTATTTTGAGTGGAAATGTTAGGGGGTCGTCTTATACGCCCAGTCGTCTTATACGCCGGCAAATACGGTAGATGTAGCATCAGTGCCCATACAGGCTCTGAGCTCAGAAACTGGCCTTCGCCCTTGACTCCACCCTTCCTCACTGCTGTGCCCTCCCTCCGCCACTCGGCCCACAAGGCCCTCACCTCGCAGCAGTGGAGCATGGGGCTCTGTGGGTGGCCGCTGGGCAGGTGTGCTAACTGCACTGTGCGAATCTACCCTTTATCCTGTGTGCTCTTTTTCTTATCTGTTGTTGAGAGAGGTGTATGTTGACATTTCCCACTATGATTGTAGATTTGTTTATTCATCCTTCTAGTTCTGTCAGTTTTTCTTTTTAGATATTTTGAGGTTATGTTATTCGGTTCACACAAATTTAGAGCTGTTTTATGTGCCTAGTAAATGGTGTCTTTTATCCTAACAAAGTATCTTTTTTTATTTCTAACTAGTGTCCTGGTGCATGGATTGGTGCACATTGAAAGGAAATTAATTAGAATAAATATTTTAATATTGCTATTCGCCCTTTCTCTATAATAGAAGTGTCAACCAAATTCATGACCAACAATGACAGATCAAAACACACACGTGCAATTGGCACCAGCGAGAGCTTTATATGTAGGGTGCATGCGCAAGTCAACTTAGCCTTTCTTACTTCTTTTCAGTCGGGTCAAATTTCTTAAGCTTTCTAAATCTCCGTTTTCTGGCTAATGAAAAGAAAATAGGATTCCACTGAGTCTCCTATCTACCTACTCCAGGACTACTGTGAGGATCAAATGAGATGAGGCACGGGAAAACACTTCACAGACATTTGGTTAAAGTGTGAAATGTTTGCACCTGGCTATAAAGCAAGTTGTGTTCCTGGGCTGAAGAAACTCTAAGGAGGCTAGTTGCTAAGGAGAGGAAGCTGGGTGTTGCTATGTGATGTCATTACTTGGTGCCCACAGTGACCATTTCCCGGCTGAGCTGGGCTGTGGGCCGCATTTTGTGCCATGGGGTCTTGGCAGCATTGGCTGCGATTTGGTGGGCTGTTGCTCTGGGGTGGTCGTGGGGCCTGTGTCCCACTTGGGGGAAGCCGAGTATTGGTTTGTCGGCACCAGGTCCTTGGTGCTGTTTATTGTTAAATGGTTGCATTTTGCGTCTGCCCCGTGGTGATCAGTGCACATCTTATCTACCAGTCAGATGGACACTTAGCCTTTTATATATATAGACTAGAGGCCCAGTGCACAAAAATTGGTGCTCTCGGGAGGGAGGGGTCCCTCAGCCCAGCCTGTGCCCTCTCACAGTCTGGGACCACTCAGGGGATGAACACCTGCTGGCTTAGGCCTGCTCCCCGGGGGATTGGGCCTAAGATGGCAATCAGACATCCCTCTGGCAGCCCGGCAGCCCTCGGGGGAGGTCCACTTGCCAGCGGGGACCAGGCCTAAGCTGCAGTCGGACATCCTTAGTGCTGCTGAGAAGGCAGGAGAGGCTCCCACCACCACCATTGTACTGGTAGCCATCAGCCTGGCTTGTGGCTGAGCAGAGCTCCTCCCATGTGAGAGCACCCTAACCACCAGAGGGCAGCTTCTGCATTGAGCGTCTGCCCCCTGGTGGTCAGTGTGTGTCATAGTGACCAGTCATTCCCAGTCCTTCTGCTGTTAGGGTCAGTTTGCATATTAGCCTTTTAAAATATAGGATAGAGGCCTGGTGCACAGGTGGGGGCTGTCTGGTTTGCCCTGAAGGGTGTCCTGGATCAGGGTGGGGGTCCCCACTGGGGTGTCTGGCCAGTCTGGGTGAGGGGCTGAGGGCCATTTTCAGGCTGGTGGGCGACTGAACCTTCCAGCCTCTCTTTTTTTATTCTGGGATAGCTGTCACTGGAGCTGAGAGCCGGCTCCAGCTCTGAGGCCATTGCCAGCTGAAAGCAAGTATCTGGGTTTGTTTAGATTCTATAATTGAAACTCTGTTCCCATCACTGGCTGCTCTAAGCTCTGAGGCTGCGCTGGCTGAAAGCAGGTACCTGGGGTTTGTTTAGGTTCTATAATTGCAACATTGTTGCATCCGGAGCTCAGAGCTGGGCTGCAGCAGGTGAGGAACCTTGGCTTCCTCTGTCACTGAGCAAGCAAGACTCCTGTTCGCTTCAACTGCCTGGCTGCTGGCCGCCATCTTGGCTGGCAGTTAATTTGCATATCTCGCTGATTAGTCAATGGGAAGGGTAGTGAAGTTATGATTAATTACCATGTTTCTCTATTATTAGATAGGATAACTCTTTTTGCCTTATGGCCTACTATGTCTGATATTAATATTCCAGTTTTCTCTTAGACGGGTTTGCATGGTATGCCTTTTATTTTTTTACACCCTTTCATGTTGAACTGTTCTATACTTTTATGTTTTAGATGCCTCCTATAAACAGCATATATTTGGGTTTTGTTTCATTGCTAGCCAGTTTGATAGTGTTACTCTTTAATTGGAGAACTTAGTCAATTTATCTTTAATGCAATTATTAATGTATTTGAGTTTAAATATTCTATCTTACTAAATATTTTTTATTTGTCCCACTATTTTGCTTTTCTTTCCTTTTGTGCCTTCTTCTGTATTGAGTATCCTAAAAATACTCTATTTCTCCCACTTAGTTTGGCTATTATATAATTTTTAATTACTTTTAGTGGTTACTGAATAGATTAAACCATGAATCTTTAACTTACCAAAGTCTGATATCATTAATTGGCACTTTTCTCAGCCAATGCAAGGGACTTAAAACTTCCAGCTGCCCTCTTCCAATGTATATGCCATCGTTGCACATTTCAACTCTGCATATATTTTAGATCCTCCCTAAGATGATAACATTATCATCATCATCATTTTTATATAGTCAATATTAATTGATATTTACCCATATATTCACCTTCTAATTGCTCTTCTTTCCTTATTGCATCATTAAGCTTTCACCTGGGGTCATTTTCATTCCAGCTAAAGAATGCTCTTTAATATTTTTCTAGGGTAGGTGTGTTGATGATAAATTCCCTCAGTCTTTGTCTGAAAATTTTTTTATTTCATTTTAATCTTGAAGATATTTTTGCATGGTATACAGTCATAGGTTGATAACTATTTTTCTTTCATACTTTATATATGCCATTGCATTGTTTTCTGGCTCCCATTA